GTGTGTTTGTGTGTTTGTGTGTGTGGCAAATAAATTCAAAAAAGCAAAACAAAGTGAATAGTACTGGAAAGTAATTTGAGAGGTTTTATTTTATCCGTGGGCTTGCGTGCACGTGCTTGCTTGCTTGCCCCCTCGCTGGCGCTGCGTGGCTGCTTCGGTGCCGTGTCCCAGGCGCCTGTCCCCCTCTGCCTATCTGACGCACTCTCACTTTCTCGCTTTCTCTTTCGTGCGCGTCCTCACCCTTCTTTTTTTGTTGTTGTTGTTTTTTTGGAGTTACCCTGGTTGGAGGGCGCTCCATTGGGCGGGTCAGTGGTTTGTGTGGTATTCTCTCGCCGCGTGGACTGGACACGATGCGTACGAGGTGGTTTGCAGGGGCGCTGCGACTGGCGGCGGCCTTCGCCCTCCTGGCGCTGGGACACTACTTTGCCGCCGTTTTCCTTCCGGTGGCGGACTGCGATGAGACGTTCAACTTTGTTGAGCCAATGCACCAGCTGCTCTATGGTAGCGGGCTGCAGACGTGGGAGAACTGCCCCCGCTACGCCCTGCGCTCCTGGCTCTTTGCGTGGCTCTACGCCTCCCCCGCTCTCCTCGTGACTGGGGAGCCAGGCGTGCGAAACCTTGACGTGTACCTCTTTAATCGCGTCTTTCACGGCCGCATAGCCTGCCTCAGTGAACTGTTTCTGGTGTACAGTGTGTGGGGGGCGGTCTCTGGCAGGGCCGCGGCGGTGACGCTGGCGCTGCTTCTGTTCAACTACCCCGTTCCTCACGCCGCCGTGAGCGCGCTGCCGACGAGTTTTGTCATGATCAACTACTTCGTGGCGCTGGGCTGCTGGCTGCGCAGCGGGCGCAGGGAATCACACCGTTTTAATGTCTTTGGAACCGTCTTTTTCGTTGTCCTTGCCTGCGCGGTTGCCTGGCCCTTCGCAGGATTCGCGGCTCTTCCGATGGCTCTGGATTTGCTCCTGCGCCGCCCAAAGGCCGCGGTGGTGTCGCTGCTCGTGTCGCTGGCCCTCATCCTGCCGCTGGCGGTGGGCCTCGACACGCTGTACTATTGTCGCCCGACCTGGAGCACGTGGAATCTTCTGCGGTACAACCTGAAGGGTGGCGCAGAGCTGTACGGCGTGGAGCCGTGGTACTACTTCATCAAGAACCTTCTCCTCAACGCCCCCGCGCTGCTCCTCGCCGCTGCCCTCGCGCCGGTTGTGCTCCTCCTGCCCCCGGCCCTAGACAAGCTGCGGCGCGGTGGCTGGAAGCTCAGCGAGAGGGCAGGCGCCCGCGCAGACGGCTCCACGCCGGCGCGGAAACACGCCGCACTGCCGTCGTCGTCGTCGCCGCAGCCGCCGAGTCGCATGTTGTTGTACGTATCTCCCTTCTTTGTGTGGTTCGCCTTTTGGCTCACGGTGCCGCACAAGGAGGAGCGCTTCATGGCACCGGTGTACCCGTTCCTTGTCCTTGCCGCCGCGCTGAGCCTCACGTGCGTCTTTTTCTCCCCGCGCCCGTCCGCTGCCGCGAGCACCGGCGCCACCAAAGCCGCGCGGTCACCACCCGCCAGGGCGAAGGACCACGCCCCGACTGCGGCGCCGAGACGGCAGGCTCGGGCTCGTGGGACACCGTCACGTGGCGCGTGGCTGCTGCCCGCCATGGGTTGCATCCTACTGCTGCTCTCCGGTCTGCTGTCGCTCTCGCGCGGCTTGGCTGTCTACCACTTCTACGCCGGACCGCAGCGGCTGATGCACGACAGCTACGACGCACTTCAGCGCGCCGCGGATGCAAAGGCGCTCAACGCGGCAGCATCGCATGACCTTTACACTGTTTGCGTTGGCCGTGAGTGGTACCGGTTCCCCTCGTCCTTCTTCCTCGACCCGCAGAGGGCGCGGGTGGCGTTCCTAAAGACCGATGCCTTCGCAGGAGCATTGCCGCTCCCCTTTGCGCGAAACGATAGCCAAGCCACCTGTCGCTGCGGCGCTGCCGGCGTAAACGACCTCAATAAAGAAATTCCCGAGCAGTACGTCTCCGATGCCGCTCTTGAATGCGACGTCGTTCTCGATAGCCGCGGCGTCGGTGATCTACGCCACGCGAGGGGTTACCCACCGGACGTCTTCGCCTACCCGCTGGTGCCCGCGCGGCGGCGGCTGCTGGACGTGGACAGGACCCCGCTGTGGTGTCGGGTGCTGTACTACCCGTTTGGCCTCAGCGAGCGGTGCGCCGTCTGGCGGCGTGTGGAGCTGTTGGGCAAACGCCGTCCCACTGCCAGCGCGGCATGACAGCGGCGTGGGCGCCTGTGGGCCGCATCGGGGGGAGGGGGGGGGAGGTAACGAGAGACAGAGAGAGAGAGAGAGGTAGAGAAGGTTTGTTTGTTTGTGTGTAGGAGCCCATTCCAATGGAGTGGGGAATGGGAATGTAGGCGCGTGCCACAACGGCAAAAACCCCGCAAGGGACAAGCAAAAGGAAAAAAATGTGAAAGCAAAGTGGTGCCTCGCATGGTTGTGGGTCTCACTTCTGTGAGAGACACGCGGGCCAATCCGCTGCCATCACTTTTGCATCTCAATTTTATTGTTTGTGTGTTTCTTTCTTTCCTCTGCCGCCCCCGTTGCGGCGATGCTGTTACGGTAGTAGGCAGGAGCATAGACGCTGAGCGTGTTGGGTCACGGCACACGTGGGTATACATTAACTACATATAGAGCGGGAAAGCGAGAGGTTAGTTGCGATGGGGCACGAGTCGGCGACACGGTACGTGGCGGCTGCGGCGATTCAGCGGTGGCTTAAGCGCCGGCAGGAGGTGACGCGTGCGGTGCGGCTCTTGGGCATTCTGCGGGCGCTGCAGGACGAAGCGAAAGGCAAGACGACCGTCGCGCACCTCCTGCAGGACGTGAGGAGCCCCACCGACGCAGGGGCCAGGACAACCGTCGACAGTGACGACGAGGGCGTTTCCACACGCGAGACGGTCGGCTTGCTGCTTGCGTTGGCGGTCGCGTACGCGGAGAGGCTGCACACGGAAAACTACGCGCGGCGCCGCAGGTGCGGCGGGGAGGCCGGGCGACGGCTGCTGCTTCTCTCGGACGCGGCGCTGGAGCAGCTGGGGCTGGAGGTGAGGGCGGACCGCGGCCCGCGGGGCCTGCGGCAGTGCCTGGACGCCTCTTGCATCGCCTGCCTTTCGCGTCTCGTTTGCGGCGCACAGGAGGCGGGGGAGGCGGCGCGGCTGCGGCCGCTGTGGTGGGGCCTGCGGCGCGCGCTCTCGGCGGACGCCCCCGTGGCGCCGCCCCACACCGTCCTCAACACGCTGGACGACGTCCCGCCGCTCCCACGGCCGCCGGTGGTGCGGGTGGGGCAGCCGCTTGCGGCGGCGCGGGAGTCGCAGACGCCGCCTCCCGCGAACAACGACGGGGATGACGATGTCGCGTTTGACACTAGCGGCGGCACAGGCGACGACGACGACGACGACGACGACGACAGCGAGGACGTCTACAGCGACGAGGAGTACTACGCGCGGCAGAAGGACCGGGAGCAGGTGCGGGTCGCCCGCATCATGTCTCTGCTGCAGATGGACGACCCAACGACGGCGGCGGCAGGCAAAGACGCCACAGACGAGGCTGCCGCACGGGAATCGTACATGCAGTTGTTTGGCGATGTGGGGGATGTGCTCTTCCCTGCACTCAACGCGGCGAAGACGACGTCGCGGAAGGCCGCGTCTGCGACGACGGCGACAGGCGCCGGTGGCACCCCCAACTGCTGCTGCATTGTGTGCGAGTTGCAGGACGAGGCGGACCGCCTCGCGCGGTGTCCGTGCGGCGGCTGGGTGCATGAGGAGTGTGCGGTGAGCGTCACCAATGGCGTGCCGCGGTGCTCACAGTTTTGCCCCTCATCGTAGGGACTGGCGCCGAAGGCGCACGCAAAAGGGAGAAAAAAACGGGAAAAAAGGAACAGGAGATGTACGTACAGCTCTTTTTTTTATGTTTCTTTTTTTGCCCTCCCCCACTGCCGCATGTACGTATGCGCTGGATGCATGCATCCCTCCGGGCAAACGCCGTCAACTGCCTGTGCGTGGGGCAGTGCGGGCTCCTTCGCACTCTCCCGCTCCGTCTTTCCCACCGCAGCCAGTGGCGCACGTCCCTCTGCTGCGTGCACCGCAAAGCCATCAGCGGGGGGGCAACAAACGTGAAGAGAAGGAAGCGAAAAAAAAAGGAAAAAAAGAAGGATGAGTGATGCCCTCGCGATACTTGACGGTGCCGTGGCGTGTGTGTCGGCGTTGCTGATGCCGGAGGAGTTGGAGACGTTGATTAATTTCTTGCGTGGGGAATCGTGGGATGAAGTGCCACCGCCCCCAGCACCGCCAGCGTCGTCATCGACGACGGCTCGCACCACGGCGGCTGCCGGGGATGTGCGCTGGCGCATTCCAAATGTGCTCACAGGCTGCTACAACTACCTCCCGCTGGCCATCGTCGCGGATGTGTCGCTTGTTTCCGCCTCCTCCTCCGGCGAGCGAGCGGCGCTCGTGCACAACTTTGAGCGACACGAGTTCCGCGTGTTTGCCGTCAACCTGCTGCCGGAGGGCTGCCCCGCCGAGAATGCCCTGCGTCAAAAGTATGGGAGCAGCAGCGCCATTGTCCGGCTGAGCTGCATGGAGGCGGCGCAGGCCTGGTGCGACGCCGTGTACGCCGAGAGGGACGGTCTCCCGGCCCGAAGCCCAACGCTGGGCAGCAAACGCGGCCGGGAGGAAGCGGCCGCCCCGCCACTCTCCTACATGGCGCGGCGGCAACACACCTCGGGGCCGCGCACGCGGCGGGCGCTTTTTATCTTGCGCTGCTGCGCCAATGAAAGCGCCGCACACCGCGAGGACGTGAGCCGAGCCCGACGCTCCTGTGACCCGCTGATGCTGCTGCTCCACGACATCAGTGCCCTGGCGGCGCTGTGCCGCGCCAGGGAGGCAGCGCACCGGGCCCGGATCCAATTTTCCGTCCTGCTGCTTCCGGATGATCTTGCCTACGGCGGCGCACTCTTGGCGGAGGCCCTGCGTGAGCCGCTGAGTCGTGAGTACTGTGTGCAGCTTTTTCGCGGGTCTGCCGCTTCCGCGGCACGGCGCGACGACGCGGAGCTGACGGCGTTCCTTCGTCGCCTTGAGACTTGGATGAATCTGCCGACGGCTCCCCCGCACCCCGCTGACGCCGAGGGAGAAGCGAAGGCCGTGACGGAGCAAGAACAACGGCACCAGCAGCACCAGCAGCAGCAGTGTGGAGCCGCGGACGTCGAGGCGGCGGAGAGAGTACGGCAGCGGGAGTCAGATTTTTTCTTTGTGCGGCGCGACAATCTGCCGCTCTGTTGTTTTTTACGGGAGGCGCTTCGTCGTTTCCCTGTCATCCTGCACCCGGTGGCGCTCCGGCAACTTCAGGCGTTGTGGGCGACACGGCGGCAACTTGGCGATGTTGCCACGGGCCTGCACGCGCTGCTCTGCCCCTTCGCCCACTCCGCGTCTGCGCGCGAGGGTTGCGCCTCCTCCACAGTGGCGCCGCCTCCCGCAGTTGCACCCGCGACGGATACCGCGGCAAATGGGGGTCGAAATGGGAACGACGGCATGTGCCGTCACGCAGACACCGTGGACATTCTCAACGCCGTCTTGGTCACGGCGGGGCAGTTGGCAGATGGAGACTTGTTGAATGAGGCGGTGGCGTTCGCAGTGTTGTACGAAGACGTTGTGTGGAGGCGGCCGACGCGGCTGCAGCGCATCCCAGGATTTGTCGCGGTGCTCGAGCGACTCTGGCGGAGGTGGGGCAATGAGAGCAGCATGGACTTCCACGCTGCGTTGGCGTCGTGTGTGCCGGTGTACACGCCTAGTAGCACGCTTCAGGATGCGTCTTACCAGCGCCCGGGTGAAGCGGCGGCGGAGGGGGCGAGGGCGGTTGTTGTTCTCCCCGCACCGATGCGGGTGCCTGCGGCAAAGGTGCCGCTTGGGGCGGAGTTGATGCATGCCGCCCTACTTGCTGTTTTGCCGCCGCAGGAGTCCCTAGAGGAGCTGAGGCGTGCTGTGGGCCAGTGCGGCAGCCATGGCGGCCCGCGTGGGGAGGCGGGCGAGAACTCGCGCGACCGCGCCTGCGCGGCGGCGGCGATGCAGGGGTCGGCGTTGTCGGAGAACAACTTTTTTAACCCCTCCATTCCGAACTCCGTGCGGCTGCTGCACCTTCTCACCGCCCATGCCTTGGGGCAGGGGAGCTGCAGGCAGAAGTACGTTTCCTTCGCGGTGCTGCAGCGCGTTTGCCAGATCTCCGACGAGGCGCTGGTGCGGGCACTGAAGGAGCTGCAGCTTGCGGGGCTTGTGAAACTCGACGGGAGCGGCGCCAAGGCCCGGGCGGCGCTGGACGGCTGACGCGACGGGAACCGCAGGCGGGGGCGTTTGTGCCGCCGGTAAGTGTTGTGTGTGTGTGTGTGTGCGTGTGGGCGTGTGCGGGAGTGGCTGCGTGCGCCGTGCCTCTCTGTAGGCAGAAATAATGTATACATATCTATGTGTCTTTCCCCCGCGCGTTTCTTCTTCTGAAGCTCTTGCACTCGCCAAAGGCAGGTAGGGTCCGGCTGTGCGACCAGCCGACACACACGCAGCGTGAGTGGTTGGCTGAGGCAAAAGTCACTACAACGAGAACGTAAAGAACGAAGGAGGGAAGGAGAAAACAACAACAACAAACGGCAAACCACACAAAGTGAGGGCGAAGCAAAAAGAAAAGGAAGAGGAAAGGGGAAAAAAAGGGGTGGTGGGGGGGTGGTGAATAAAAAGATACACGCGAGGCGGAAAGGCATCGGTGGCAGGAACGGAGGCGATGGTGTGCAGAAATGGCGACGCCTCCTCGCACTTTAGCGGCTCCTCCGTGCAGCAGCAGCCCCCGTCGTTTGGCTTGGAGCGCCTCCTGACGGCAGCGTATCCTCCACCCCGCTTCGAGCCGGGGCCCAAGGTGCTGCTGCGATGCAAGGCCGACGTCGTTAACTGCATTACCCGGCGAGTCCGGCGCGTCAGTGAGGGTCTCATGGCTGGCAGGTACGCCTTCGAAAATCGGCGGGCGTTGGCCCACACAATTGTGCGCAGTGCACTGCAGGCGGCCTACCCCAACTGTCGTCGCGACATCTTTGCGGCTTCGCCGGGCGATGGGGCTGCGGGGCCGCCCCTGCACGGCGACACCATCGCGGGGGCGTTTCTCTGTAGCACCGTCACCTGCGCTGACCCCTTGATTTACGCGTCGGTGCTGTCATTTTTTTTCGCCTACGGCGTGGACTTCACCGCGCCGCGCCGTGGCTCGGGCGGCCCCGTGGCCGGAGGCAACCGCGTGGCGCCACCGCTTCCTTCGCTAGACACCGCCCTCTACTGTCTGCACAAGGTGGTGGAGGAGATTCTTGCGCGGACGGGGATGCTGCACGGCAGGAATGTCACTGAGCATAGCAAGAATGGTGCGCCCACGCCACGGCGATGGCTAGACGATCTTCAGGATTTCTTCCTTGTGCTGGCGAACGGTTACACGCTGCTGTCGCTTCTGCGGTTCTTTGCCGAGGAGGAGGAGGAGGTGGTGGTGGCGGTGGAGGAAAGGTGGAATGGGGCGGAGCTAAGCGCAGAGGGAAGGAAGCGCGACGCGGCCGACCTCTCAGTCCGAGCGGCGCCCTTGTGTTACACCACGGCAGTTCTTTACCGTTTGTTTGATCGGAAAATCGGGTCAGTTGCGCCAGCGGGCGCCTCCTCACCTTCGGCACCCGCGTCCTCCATTGTTTCGGTCTTCGCCATTTTATTCAAGGAGGTTGTCGAGTATTGCAACGGCGCCGGTGTGCGGTGGAACCTCTCCGATGAGGCGGGCCTGAGAGGGGCGCGGAGGGCGCTCTACAGCACCCCGGCTTTGGTGCGGAACATGGTGGTGGTGGTGGCGGCCTACTGCCGCCAATTCCCGCCGTTGTATCAGGCGGTCAAGAAGCAGGCGGGGTCGCCGTTTATCCTCGACCAGCTGGTGCACTCGGCGTTGTTCAGGCTTCCCTTGTGCCCCCAGGAGGAGGTGGAGAGGGAGCGTTCCGTCGTCTACGATAAAAAAGTCGCCACGGCGGCGGCGGGAGCCATGCATGAGCCCGCCGCAACGGAAGAATTTGGGCCGCAATTCAAACCGCCGCCGTTTTATGGCGGCACTGACGCCGGGACGCACAGTAATAAGTTGGGCGACACCTCATTTCCTTGCAATGCTGGGGCGATTTCTGCCCAGTGGCGGAGCTCGCCGCGGGAGAGGACGTCCTTCGCGAATACGGCTTTACCTTTACGGGCCGCAGAGGCAGCGGGGTCATCGTTGGCGTGTGTGGGGCTGTTGAACATGGGCAACTCCTGCTTCCTCAACAGCTTCACCCAGCTGTTCTTTGCCGCACGGCATTTTAGGGTGAATCTCCTGCAGGAGAAGCTTCCGCGCCTTCTGCCGCTGCTGAAGCGCTCCCTCGACAACGACACGGGAGCCGGCAGTGGGGGCGGGGAGGAATGGGTGGGTGGCCGCCGCGGCGCCACCGCCCCCCACGTCACCGCGGGTTTTGTCGTTCTCATGCTGCTGATGCACTGGATGGTCACGCACGGTCTTAGCGGGCGGGCCGTCAACACGGCGTCGTTTAGGAATTTTTTGCCGGAGCCGTTTAACGACGGCTTCCAGCACGACGCCTCGGAGTACGGGAAGGTGCTGATGGAGCTCCTGGACAGCAGCAGCGCCAGCGAGGCCGCCGCGGACGCCGCCTCCAGCGCGGAGGAGGAGGACTACGACAACGAACAGAAACGGAAGAAAAATAAGCGGGAGAACGTCCTGGAGGGAGGAGCAGAAGCGGGAGCGGGGGGTTGCGCCGCGGGCCCCTTCCAGGCTCGCGTCAGCGCCCACGCGAGAGGCGAGGGCAGAAATGGCAGTCGTGGCGGCGGCGGCGGCGGCGGGCGGGGGGGCGACGCGGGGCACCGTCGTTGCGCGATGGTTCGGCGGGGTCTCGGCGTCTCTCATCGAGTGCATGGCATGCCACCGTACACGGACGCAGCTGAGTCCGTTTTGGGACATCAGCGTTCCGCTGCGCCGAGAGGAGAACGCCAGGGAGGCCGTCCGCGGCGAGGAGAAACCCGCGGAGGAGGAGGAGGAGGAGGTGCGTGTGGTGCACTCGGCGGATGGACGCATTGCGATCACAACATACCCCGCCCACGGCCTCGACGAGGCCGACGCGTCTCCGCTGCAGGAGGCGGAGGAGGCAACACCGACGCCGTCGCTGCAGGAGCTCCTCGACAGCGTTCTCAACTGCCGCAACTCTGGCGAGGTCGTCCACGGCGAAAACATGACATACTGTGAGTTATGCCACAATCGTGCGCCTGTGCGGCTGCGAACAGCCGTGCACACGACCCACAAAAGTAGCCTGCCCCTCACGGAGGACTATATGCAGGATAGCGACATTGCAGGGGTGCCTTTCTACCTCATCCTGCAGCTCAACCGGTTTCACTACCATCGCGAAACCGGGAACTACGAAAAGGTGATGGATAAGGTGACGATTAACAAAGACATCAACGTCCCGGTTCGGGTCGTGATGCGGGAAGGCAGTTGCGCCGACGGGGCGGAGCCCACTGGCGAGGAGGCGGTTGCGTACAGGCAAATCCAATACCGCCTCGTCGCCGTGGTGGTGCACAGCGGACCCAGCCCTCGCAGCGGGCACTACTTCACATTACTGCGCTCCTTCGCAGACGACGCCGCCGCCGCCGTCGCAGCCGCGGAGGAAGACGAGGACGAGGACGCGTGGGTGCTGGCAAATGACTCAATGATCGCGCCGTTGACGTCGGCGACCGCCGCGGGGGTGTTGTCAGGCTCCAACGGAGTTTTCGGTCCATCCGAGACGCCGTACATCATCCTCTACGAGCGCTGCGGGAATCCTCCGCCCGCCAGCGACGCGCTGGAGCTCCCCGACGCGGTGGTGCTCCCCGGCAAGGTGGAGCAGCTTCTGCGGGGGTTGGTGCTTCCAGCGCCACACGCGCCGCCCACCGCACACAGCCAGAGCGGCAACGGGAACGACGGGGGCGGCGGCGGCGGCGGCGGCGACGACCCTGACGGCGATGGCGCCGCCGGGAGAAGAGGCAGCAGCGCCGATGCAGTTGGTTTGAACAACTCATTTTGGGGCGGCGGCTCCCCCATCTTTTGAGGGGCCAACGTCGGCGGGGCGAAGGAAACGCACACGCACAGCCCTCAGAACGAAGGAATAGGCGGAAGAGGAAGAGGAAAACGCGGAAGTGTCCGCGACGCACCCCCTCTTCTCTCACCTCCCCAATCTTTCTTATTGCCGTTGTTTTTTTTTTTATTTCTCCCCCCTCCCCCCTCCGTTTGTTGTGAAAAAAAAAAAGTGTAGTACTGTGCGAATTCCATCCCTCGCCCTTTTTTTTTTTTTCTTTCTTCTTCTTGCCTCTCCCTTGCGCCTCATATACACACTTCCAGTTGCGCCTCGGCAGGCACAAATACGTCTCGGCGCGGAATTTCATGGGCCTATTCGTGGCTGAATGTATTTGTCCGCGACTGCCTACCGCGGGTCCCTGCGCCCAGTGACGTGACTCTCGCCTGTTGATTTTTGCTACCAGAGACAACTCGGACGCATAGACGCACGCACCTTTGCTTTCGTGCGCCGTCTTTCTCTTTCTCTTTCTTGTTGACTGTCTGCACTTGCTCTCTTTTTTTTTACTGTGCTTTCCTTTTTCTCTCGCCCTCTTTCCTGTACGCACGCCCGCGTGTAACTGTCAATGGGCCTTCTTCTTATTACTCTTTTCTTGCCTCTCCACGCAAGGTGCAGGGGTAACCGAAGCTTTTTTTCTTTTGCGGAGGGGCTCCTGCTAGTTATTCCCTCCCCCTCCCCCCTCCCCTCCTTTCGTGCGTCTGCTTGCGTGTGTGTGTGCGTGTGTTGTTGTTGCTTTTGTTTTGCCTGCCGTCTTCTTCGCCGCGCCAGCCGTCGGGGCCTTTGAATGCCGCCGCCTCACACCGTCGATTCCTCGCCGCCCACCACGACGTCGGTGGGGGCCGCGGAGGCGTCTGAAGGCACCGCGGCGCCCTGCAGCAGCCACGCGCCGCGCCCCTCCGCCCCGCCGCACGTCAACCCCGCCTGCGAGACCGACAGCAACCCTGGCGGCGGCGGCGGTGGTGCCCTGTCGCCCGTCGGCACGAGGCAACCTGCCTCACCCGAGTTGCACGGCGTCGCGGGGAAACTTTCGCTGCCGGAGCCGGTAAACCGGCACTGCAGCGACGCCGGGATTAGGAAGCTGTGCGGCCCCATGGGCACCGAGGAGACGATGCGGCGGCTTCTGCGAGAGGTGCGGTCGCAACGCGTGCGCGTGCGCGTGCATCATTGCATGCGCCTGTACCGGAGGGCGGTAAGGGAGCTGCGCGCCGCCAAGGATGCCGCGCTGAACGCCTCCAACGCGGCGGACTCCGTGCACGCTGACGGGCCGGACAACCCGACGCCGCAGCTCCGCGAGGACGCGGAGGGCGATGCGGGGGAGATAGTACCGCAACGGCGCAGCGGCTCCTCCTGCGAAACACGCAATGACGTTAGTAATGATGTGAACCCCAGCGGGGCGGCGAAGGCCACTATGAAACTCATTGAGGATGTCCTGAATGACCCTGCGGCGTCGACTGGGCGGTTGCGAGCAGCTTTGCAAGACGCGTACCACCTTTGCCAGCGCCTCGACGCCGCCTGCAGCGAGGCCGGGCGGCAGCCGCCTTCTCGCCATCCCGCTGCCATAGCAGCACACCACCTTGGTCCGCTAGACGATGAGGAGCAGAAGCCTAATTTTCCCGCCGCTGTGGCGCGGCTCTCGCTGTGCAGCGACACCTCGGACACACAGTTGCACTCCCCTATGCTGCGACGGGCACGAATGCCGCGCAGAAACCACGTTTCTCAGCTCTTCACGGTCGTGCCCCCCATGTGGAAGGAGCATGACAGCAGCAAGGATGTTGGCGTGCAGGCATTCTCCACAAGTAGCGATCCCTCCAGCCACGGTCAGCAGTGTTACGGCGTGAGCCTCTCGGCGCACTTCCTGTCCCCTTCCACCTGCGGCAGCCATGCGCCGGAGCGGGGAGGACGAGAGGTCTCCGGCCACAGCGCCGGCTCTAGGAACGAGGAGGATGGGACCAATACCAACAACGGCGAGCAGCGGAGCAGTAGGAGTGGCAGCGTGAGTGCGGCGAGTACCGACAGCGCGGGTAGTGAAATTCGTCGTTCGACGGAGAATGAGAAGCTGCGGCAGTGGCGCTTGGACGCCTTGCGGATGCGAGGCGGAGGCCCACGAACCACCTCGAGCGAAAATTGGGGACAGCATGCAACTGCGCCCCCACCCGCTGCAGAGCAATCAAAATCGAAGGAAGGAAAGTAGCTGAAAGCGGAACCCCAACAGGATCAAACAAACAAACAAAAAAGCCGTAACAGCCGGCACAGTCCTACTTGGATGGATAACCTCCCGGCAGCCAAGTACGCAATATATATATATTGACATGCATATATACATAATATATTTGATATTTACGGGTATTCCCACATGTATTCTTTTTTTTACCTGAAGTCACGAGAATTGACAACTGTGATGAAACACGTTGTCGCTTTTTCTTGCTCCCTGCACTTTTCTTCTTTTCCTACGCATGTGTGTGTGTGTGTGTCTTTCAAGCGTTTTTTTTTCTTGTTGTTGTAGTGGAGGCTTGCCGGTGGGTGGGCGCGCGTCACGTGCTTTCGGCGCGCCCTCCCCCCTACCCCACCCCCAGCGCACGTAGACCCGGTCGCTCGGCTGTACCCTCCCCCCTCCCCTTGCGTGCACCCGCGACGGAGACACAGTAATGTCTCTCGTGTACATCAATTGCTTAGTTGTTCGTCCTTTTTTTTTGTTTTGTTTTCTGTTCTTCCCCCCTGCTTCTCTTGTTTCCCTTGCGGCAAAGAGGCAGAGAGGCACACGGCGGACTCGGGGAAGGGCGCCACGGTGGCCCCCGGGACGCCTCTGCCGCCCCACATACCTGCACTGTGGCGAAAAACGTACGTTTGGAGCGATGCTGGAGCACCCATCGTGCCTGTCGCGTGTCCCGAAGTGTGCGTAATGTGTGTGCCTGCTGCTGTCTTGCCCCCTCCCCTCCACTACACTCCACCACACCCACAGGCTTTTGTTTCTCTTCTTCACTAGAGTCGTGGAGGGGGGTCGCTTTTGTTGTTGTTGTTTTTTTTTTTTGCTTTTGCTTTTTCCTTCTTGCGTGTTGTTTTTCTTTTGTTGTTGTTGTTGTTCATTTTGCGACTGTTTTTTTTTTCTTCTTTTTTGCTGTTGTTTCATAATTGTTTTTCGCCCTTCTTACTTTTCGTTTTATGTATTCGTTTTCCATTTGCGTGTCTGTTTACGTTCCCGCATT